AAGGTTAATAAATGACACAAGTCTTAAGAAAGTAGGTCTGAGTCTAACTCAACCTTACAAATCCAAATTGTAAGTAAAGATTGGTCTCCACTTATAACCTTTTTGTTTGTTTTATCTCTAGTCAATGTAGGATTTTGATTTTTTTTCCGAGACACTCCCTCGTGTCCAACACTAATAGGCTCGATGCATGATAACCGCATTTTCTTCTACCCAACTTTAAGTTCCTAGTTATATTAAGCACAGAAATACGCATAGCTAAAGTTGGTAAACCTCTTCAATTGAAACCATGAGCAGATTAAAAAAGTGCAGAATTACAATTACTGATCCACATTTTTTTTAATATAGTAAGATAGCATGGTGAAACTTACCTATAATCACAGACCATTAATAACCCTCCATCCTTGCACACAAAACACCAGTCCTCAGCAATCTCTTCCTTCCTTCTCTTGTCCTTCCTCACCATCCTGTTTCAGAAAAAGCAAAAACAAACAAAAAAATCCCCAATGTCCCTCAACAGTTCCTGCAAAATGTAGTAGGAATAAGTCAAAATCAGAGGAAAGAAATAGAACTAAAAGGGAGAACTCAGAGAATGCAGTAAACTAAAACCTCAGAAAATAAATAAATAAAATTGTGAGAGGGAAATTGAACAGGAGAACAATCAGCAAGTTGACAAAAGTTTAGAACTTTAAGAAAGATGAAAATGAATTAAGAAGGAGAGAGAAACGACATTGTGATGAATGTTGGTTTGAGAGGAGAAGAGAAGATGCATGGTGTGTGAGAGTGAGTCACTCACTGTGAAGAAAAGAAACGCACGCACGGACGGGAAATGGGCACGCAAAACGAAGAAAGGACCTGAGTCGGATTTTGGTGGGACACAGTGAATATGTTATATGTGAAATATGAATTGGACGCCCAGAAATCAGGAAACAATTTTTATCATTTTAAACGGAAATTCAAAATTAAATCAGTTCGGCTAACTGAAAATGTCCTAAATCTTTTTTACTTTATCGTTTAGTAATAAATAACAATAAATGTAAATACTTAACTTATTATTCAATTGTAAATTTGTAATTAACCATAGAACGAAAATTTTGTTTACTTTCGTAATAATTATTTTAATAAAAATGATTTTAAAAATAATTTATTTTATTCTACAACAATTTTTTAAAAATAATTTGTAACTAATGGTGTAAAAAAATAGTTAATCACCTATATACTGTCCGTGTATAAATTTTTTATACTGGCAACCAATTATATCTTTTAATTGTGTCATGTTACTGTAAACACATTTACTTGACATGACACAATTAAAAAATATAATTGGTTGCCAGTGAAAATTTTTTTTACACTAACAGTGTATAGGTGATTAACTCGTAAGAAAAATAATCCCTCACTTTTTTTAAATTAAACTCTAAAAATATTTAAATTTTTTATAATTTTTTATTCATTGATATTTTCTTTTACTATTGTTTTAATATATGTAATGCACGGGTTAAATAATTATTATATAACTAAAATTTATAATAAATTATATTTGTGAATAAATATTGTATTTAATATATAAGTTATATTTAAATTTTGTATAAATATATATTTTTTAAATATATAAATTATATTTTATATTTATGATAAATAATTTATATTATAATATAAAATTATTTTATTTTATTGATTATTTATTTTAAAATATTAAAAATTCATTTATAAATAATTATGATAAAAAAAATCAGATTAAAGGTGTCAAAAAATAAATAAAAAGATAAGAAAATCTTTAAAAATGTTGTTCTAAAAGAAAAATCCATAAGAACGATATCGAACAAGGAGTAGGTTTATGTTTAATATATAGAAATTGAATAATAATTATTAGTATGTATTAAATATATAATTTTTTATTTAATATTTTCATAAAATGTTATCGTTATTAATAAATATCTATTACTTTCATTTTATAAAGTTATATAAATATGGCTCTCAACAATTTCTTTTTTGCTTAATTCCATTTTATTTTTGTTATTTTTTATTTTAATTTTATCCTTATTTTTTTTTCCAAATTTTATCAATATTATGTCAATATGAATGTGATGATCAGAGATGAAAAAAAAAATCTTATAAAAAGAGTTATAAATATCAAACTCATGATATAAAAAACACAAGTTTAAATTGAATCTTAAACTATTTTATGTCAATTCATGATAACCTAACTATTGTATGAATGTATATGGGTTGAAATTTTTAAATTGAGTGAGCTTAATGTGTGTTGTTTTTATTATCCTAACGATGGCATTATTATTAAGAATTAATCACTTACACTGTCAACTAATCATATCTTTTAATACATGTTAGTTACTTATTTAATGAAATAATAATAAAATAAACAACTTTAAAAGATATAATTGGTTGCAGTGTAAAAAAATTTACACTGACAATGTAAGGATGACTAACTCTATTATTAATGTGTTGTTTTATCTCCTTCAACCAACAATAGCACTAATATTAATATGATTAAGTTTCTTCATGTTAGTCCTGTGATATAACTTGTGCAAGATCTTATAACATGATATTCTTGTAAGATGATCTTGGCTTTTTGTCAAACGTCAAACTTAGTGTACATGAAATAAATGGATCGAAAATTATAATATCACTTTTTTTATTATATATAAATTGTTTGGTAGTGATTATTAATATTAGGTTGACATCAATGAAAAAAATATAGAGTTAATTATAATAATTTAACTAATAATTTATTGTTATATTTATCATTTAAAGAAGACTGGATTTATCTCTCTTATAAACATGACTTAAGTTGTAAAGGTAAATAAGACTTCAATTGTCTATCGATTCATAGAGACGGTAAACAGAATAAATTATTTTAACTCAATCTAATTTACATGCATTAAATGTTATTTTAGATTAAGTTGACTTGACTTATAGGAAAAATGAGATAGAAAAATATCATGACAAAAAAAACTTATTAGATAGTAAATATATTTGAACAATTGAGTAAAAAGAATATATCATAGAGAGAAATAAGATTTTTTACGTAGTGAAATGATACCTGTAATTTTGTAGTCTGAGTGGTGACAATAAACTATTGTCGTCACACAAGTGTTGGCATAATTGTATCTTCAACTTTTTCGACAAACAAAACAAAGATCATGATCCAACATAGCCTATAATTTATTTGAATGAATTCAAATTTAAAAAGTATATTTTTTTATTAAATAATTATATTTTAATAATAATTTTCAATAAAAATATTTTTTACAGCATAATATTATATTTATAATGACATTGTTTATCTAGAAATATATGTTATAAAATATGTTTATTTTAAGTTAATAAGGTATATTATGTTAAAACATCAACTTGATTCAATCTTGTCCCATATATTTATGGTTTTAATAGGTTAGGGTTGGGTTCACTTAATAACCCAATCAAATTATTGAAAAAGGATAAATTTGTTCAAAGTCTTCTCTTCTCTTGTACACCCTTATTAGCCTACGAGGTTCTACTTTTATAAATTTTTTGGAGTAGTATGACACTCCTATTAGCTATATCAATATTGTAGTGGAAACATGTAGTAGCAAAAATCGTAATGATAGTGATAATATAATTATGATAATAACAATAATAGAAAGAATATTATTAAATATAGTAAGAGTATATTTTTTAAAAATAAAAACTGATTTCACATTTTTTATTTATTTTAAAAATAATTGTAAAAGTGTTTTAAATTTAAATTAAAAACTATTGTAACTCGAGTTTAGTCAAATACATGTTTGCATACATAGTAATAAGACGCTCAAAGACTCAACCAAAAATAAAGTTACATTCCAAGAATTCAATTAAAAAAATAGTTTAAAGATTGTATCGGAAAGAACAATGCCCTACATGGGTACTTTGGAAACGAGACAAATTGTTCACATGAGTACTATTGGATAAAATCAAATATCTTAAATGATTAGACACATGTTTATTATTGTTAATGAATACTCATACAACAGTAAAAACCATAGAACAAAACATCTTATACAATTTATTATTGTCATTAATAATGAATAACGCTTTCAAAATGACTTTGATAGAACATAATGTCATATTATATGATTCATTATTTTTATTAATAAGAAATAATGCCTTTGTTATGAGTTTTAATGAACATCTTTTTAGTATGTAAAAAAGAGACCTAATCACAATGTGTCATATTATATTTTTATACTACTTACATGCATTATGTTGAAATGTCATTACGTATGTACAAAGGATTTTAGAGCTTATAAAGAAGAGAGGAAAGATACTAAACTTCTCATAAAAGTTTGGAAGCACACAACTTAATTTTAGTAAGAAAAAAGATCAATTAAATAATTTTACCTTTTAATAAAAAAAATGTTGAGAGGAATGCATGTGCTTTATGTTTTGCCATTTTATTTTTTTAATTTTGAGGTACAATTTAAGTAACAAAATATATAAATTATGACTTAAAAATAGAATGCCGCATAAATGGATTGAGTAATCAAAAGTTCAAAAAAAAAAATAAAAACGCTCATTACTAGAGAGGTTCATTCAGGTTCTACCAAAATAACAACAAAAACCAAAAAGTAATATTTGAATTTAGATTATGTGGGCTCGGATTTACAAATTCAAACTAATTTTTTATTATTATTTCAATTCTTCAACCAAATCTACTATATCGGTTCTAGTGATTTTTTTTTTCTCTTTTAAATAGGTACAATACGAGTACTTTTCAATAGACTATATATATTCATTGTAGTATTACTTTCATTCAAATACGTTTATCTGTGACTTTTGATGAGATCTGGAATATTAGTGTTGATATAATTACACCTAAGAGAATCACAGTTTGTATAAGATAAAATTTAGCCTTCTTTCTCGTAAACGTGAAATTATGTTTAAATTTTTTCCAAATAAGAATCGGCATTGTAGCAGAAGCTAAACTATAAAGCCATTCAAGAAGTTGCCGATGTTAAACAACAAAGGAGGTCAGGGTTATATATATTTATATATTATAAACTCATACTTAATGTTCATTAATATTATGCATGTCTGTCCTAAGTCCTAATTATAACACAACAGTACATTATTAAATGTAACAAACACATCCAACATATATATGAACTATGAAGCATGCATGAAGTTAATTATTTGACATTACATATATAAGGGTAATTAAGGGTGAGATGAGGTAGCTAGCCAGGGAAAGCAGCAACCTCAATGGCTGCTGTGGGTCTGCATGCTGGTGCATCATACTTGCTGAATAGCTTGTAGGAGGAAATGAGAGAAAGCAAGACATAGCAAAACACTGCCACAAATGTGATGCCTATTGATGCTGTTCCCTTGTGACAGAATCCACCAAAAGACTTGCATGCTGCACTCCACGTTGTTGCAGAGTCTCCATTCTCAGCCAGGTACAGCACCTCGGTTGACACAGCTCCAGCAGCTAAAATTATGTACGTTAACACCTATACCAACAATTTGCACCAAAACTTGTCAGTACATATATATAGTCAGTCTACTGCTATCATTAACATAAAATCTTATATAAATAATAGAAATCAAGGTGATGCACAATATAAAATACACCATATATCATCTAATCACAAACTATTATTTATAGTAAGTTATTACCTTTTATGATAAACAATGTCAAAGTCATACAGATATGGTGTTATCTGATCGGGTAAATATGAGTGTATGCTTCCTATAATTTCATCAACTTGCCTTTTTAACATATAATTAAAAATATCTCATTTTAATTCTTATACACCAAGTAATAATAGCATTCATTTTTCACCTTCAAGGCAAAAGTTAGTCCTAGTAACTTCTTTGACTCATGTTTTGAGACATTTGAATGTGGAAGCAATCACATAGATAATCACTTAATGAAAGACAAATTTAATGTCCCGAGTGAGAAATACCTGACTTATTAGAGACTAATAAATACTTCCTTCATTTCAAATCATTGGTCCTTTAAGATTATAATATATATTAAGAAATATTTAGTATCTCAACTTCATTATTTGTTTTTTTTTAAAAAAAAATAAGTGATAGTTGATGAAGAAAGTGCATATTAAATAGGATTATAATTTAGAAAAAAAATATTAATTTGACTTTGAAATCTAAAAGAATGATTATTTTAGAAAAAATAACTTAAAGACTAAAGATTTTGGACAAATAGAATAAATCAATAAATAATTAAGGGGCTACATTATAAATGAATTAAAGTAGAATAGTTTCTAAGTAATCCCTCGGCACATATATATAAACGAAAATTACTTAAAAAATTTAGACTAAAATGTAAGCGTCAATTCTATTTAATATTCTTACTCTAAAAATATCCTTATATTAATAAATGAGAGTATTATTTATCATGAATGTGATTAAAATATTTTAGAAAATGTAATGTATATTTCATGTAAAATTGTGAAAATTAAATACATTTAACAATTTTTTTAATTCAAGTAAAATTAATTATGTTTGCCTATATACTAATTTTGATGGAATATAACTACTATATATTATTTCATAAGAGTAGTGACTTTAACTGTGAAACATCATTTCCTACCTAACATTAAAATCAAACCTAACCATCGAAAACGAATAAAGACTAAGAAAGAGTAAAAAAATACAAAAACTAAAAGTATAAGATTTTGGATGAGTCTCGTTATAGGAAAAAGTATGCGTTATTCCTGAATATAGAAAATTATTTCTATGATAGTAGTATTCTATTATTGAAAACCTTGGAAAACAACAACTTACAACTAATCCACACGACAACATTGATAAAGCCACTTGGACCATTAAAATCCTTTGCTATTGTCGTGTGGCAGAGGCAATTCCATGTAATTGTACTTTTTGGAGCATTTATAATCTGTTAAGTTAGGTGTAAGATGCGTAAAGTATGTAACACCATTTAAATTGACCATAACGATCATCCAAACTTATTTACCAAATTTTCTTTGTATCATTTGTTTGCAAGTTAGATAAAATTGTACAAGTTAAACTATATTGAATATAATTAAAATATGAATTTAAATAAATTCCAACAATTAATTTACCCTAAAACGCGTATATAAAGGTTATAACTACAAATTAATAAATTTATATATATATATATATATATATATATATATATATATATATGTGTGTGTTGAAATTAGCTAACGGCTATCTCGGCTAGCTAAAAGAGAAACAAATGATGTTTTCATATCATAATGGGTGTATATACTTAATGGGGGGACAAAAAAAGACAAGTAATATTTATTATAAAAAAAAAAGGTTATGTGATAAAAAAAAATAGTAAAAAATTATATTTAAAAAAAATATATATAAAAATATCAAGATTGAAAGAGAAAGTGCCAAGACGAGAAAACAATATATTGAGAGTAAAATATAAAGGTAAATAAACTTAGGTAAATTAATATTAATATTTAATCAAAATTATAGTTGCACTTAGTAATCTGTGTATTAAATAACGACTTTAATTATCAAAGTAAAATTTTAATTTGTTAAAAATTAGTACAGAAGGGCAAAAGCACATAAATTTACTCTTATCATTAATGTTTTGTAATCACATTATTGGAATAATTTGATTCAATACAAACACCTCAATTAGGAAAGCTTCCATATAGTGGCAGACATACATACAATTGAAGGTGCCTTTGCATCTCCTAATTCCTAATTTTAAGAATAACAAATGTATGTATTTTAAATTAAAGTTTTTTATTCCCTCTAAATTTCTACTTTAAATTCATTGTGCTTAATTTCTCAATTCTTGATAATTTTTGTCTTGTATTAACTAATTTATTTCTTATATTTTAGTCTCTTTTTTTGTCCACTTTAATTTCTTTCTTAAAAAGTGTTTTGAAATATTTATTTATTTATTTATTTATATATATATATATATATTATTTTAATAAACTGCCCCATTGACCCAAGTTCTTAGATCCCTACTGCTCTCATCCCATGGGAAATGAAACATTGAAACATTGAGTGCATGAATATTGATAAAAGAGTATTTATATATAAATACACGACCTTAGTTTTTCTTTAACACTCCTGGGTTTTAATTTAAATATGAAAATTAGAACCGTGAGGAGAATGATATTAAAATTGTAGATCATCAAGCATTGCTGGTACTCTTTACATATTAATAAAAATCTGTTTAATTTGCTGATAGAAAAAAATAAATTATGAAAGCTTATATCCTTCATTAATTTTATTCATTCAAGTCTGAAAGTGAAAAAACTTATTGCAGCAGAAAATGAAAATTTAAGAATTAGTAAAATAATTAATAACCTGGTCGAGCAAAAAGAAAGTCCAAGCACGAGGCATGGTGGATGGACGAGGCATAGCAGCAATGACTGCTGAAAATAGGGAGTAACCTGCACAAATGCCATTGGCATGCACCAAGTACCTGCAAAAATCCAAAACCCATAAACCATAATATAAAATTCAATTTCTCCATTTTCATATATATTCGGATTCAGATCCAAAACAAATTATTTCACCATTTACATAATAATGCCCCAAATTCTGTTTCAGTATCTAATTAACAGTGCTTTCTTTGTCCCATTATACAACATTTACTGATAGAAAGAGGCAGCAGCTAGCATAGAGACAAAAAAATGTTTCATAAGTATTACACTGTTGGAGTTCATCTTAATGCATTACTAATTAAATCTAACTTAACTGTAAAAAACTGTTTCACTTATATATTATATCTTGATTATATTATTAATCGATGTGGGATGAGGGATATATAGAAACATACCTGAAAGCTCCAAGGTCGGTGTAATCAACAGAGCCATATTGATTTTGCTGAGAGTTCTTGAGCATGAGAACAAGGGCAGAAACGCATAGGCCAACAGGAAGCAAGCGCAGAAGGGTCTCAGCAGTGCGTAGGGTGCTGCTGTTGCCTTCTAGTTCATCTTCCATCTTCATCTGCATCTGCATGGGAGATCTTGCACCTTCAACTGCACTTCCTTTCTCCATATTTGTTTATGTGTGGTCACCTCTAATCTAATTTCTTGCTAGGTTTTGATGAGTGTAGTATGGAGCTGAGTGATTGTGTTTTAATATAGTATTAACCTTTCATATATATACAACATACCAATTACCAAGCAGTGATGGAGGCCAGGTTTAGGGTAGGCACATGTGGAACATTAAAGAGAAGAGTGGAGAGGCAGGTGTGGTGACTGAAACTGCATTGAATGCCATTATGATTCCCAAGGCTAAGTTAACTCATGAGTAAGCCTTTCTTTTTCTCTTTCTCTTCTCCCTAGCTCATTCATTAAACCAACCGTTACCACAACTTTAGTACACCGAGGTAACAAACCTCATTTTGTAACAGGAGCATTTTTCTAACTTATTTTGCTTCTCATTTTAATTAAATTAGTCAATTTTTTAATAATTTAAATTACTTTTTTATTATATTTTGTCTATATTATAATATTAATTAATATTAAATCTTCAACACATTTTTTCGTATTATATATTCAATAATTATCCGATAATAAATAGTTTAATATACTAATAATAATTGTGAAGATAAATTTTTATGACTTTAAAAAAATGAATTTGTGTCTAATTTAATCTTATAAGTTTAATTTGTAAAATGATGATTAATTTTATTTATAACTTTATATATTATATTTTGATTATATTATTAATTGTTTTGTAAATTCAAACATTATAAAGTGGGAAATATTTTTATGTGTGTATTTTATTTTAACAAAACATTAACAAACGGTTGATTTCCTTGTTATATTATGTATATATGAGATAGGATTTATTGAGAAAGATAAAACTCACTTTATGTACTTTAATAATCTATTTGCTTAAAACAAATTAGTTTCCAACTTTTGATGGAAAACTGATAGGTTAAATATCTATTTTGGTCCCTTATAATTTTTTTTTGTTTCAATGTAGTCTCACTTTTATTTTTTGTCTCAATTTGGTCTCAAACTAATTAATTGGATTCAATTTAGTCCCAAATTAATTAATTGATTTCAATGTAGGACTTCCGTCCAAATTATTTAAACGGATTTAACTTTTAGGCACGTGGATGCCACGTAGATGCATACGTAGATGCCACGTGAATGACAATTTTTTTTAAAACACTTGGACCCAGAACGGCCCGTTCTAAAACCGGAACGGGCCGTTCTGGTTGCACTTTTAGTGTGTTAATTTTGCATCCGGAACGGCCCATTCCAGGTGCAAAATTAACACACCAAAAGTGCAACCAGAAAGGCTCATTCCGATTTCAGAACCGGCCGTTCCGATTTCATTTTTTTTATATATAAAATATTAATAATTTTATAAAATATATATTATTAATTATATTTTAATTATGTTGTTATATCTAATAAAATAAATATATTAATATTTTTTTTATATTTTATTTTATTATGTTTATCTTATTAATTTTTATCATTTTATTCCTCTAATTTTAAATAAGTTGCAAAAAATTATAAAGTGATACTTAAATATTTCTTCAAACAGAAAGAGAAAAAGAAAAAATTATTACTCTATTTATAAGACAATTGTATTTTATAAAAATAAGTAATTTTAAAATTTTTACTATAAAAAAATATTTTTCAAAATTATTATATTTTTTAATAAAATTAATAAAGAATATTGGTTTAATTGCATTTTTTATCCCTCAAGTATTACAATTGTGCAGTTTTGATCCACAAGATTTTAATTGGGTAATTTTAGTCCTTAAAGAATTGCAATTCGCGATTTTGGTCCTTCAATTTTTAATTGAACAATTTTAGTCCCTCGAATATCATAATAGTACGATTTTAGTTTCTCCCATTAAAAATTAATAATAAATATATATCATTTGATACATTAAAAAAAATTATAATATACGGTAATTTAAATAAGCAAACAATTATATAGTTTTAAAACATATATTATATATATATATATATATATATATATTAAAATTTTAAAATTATTAAATTTTTAATGAGAAAGACTAAAATTGCACAATTATGATATTTGAGAGATTAAAATTGTTCAATTAAAATTTGTGAGACTAAAATTACACAACTAAAATCTTTTAAGGACTGAAATTACTCAATTAAAATCTTAGGGATCAAAATTGCATAATTATAATACTTGAGCGATCAAAAACACAATTAAGCAAAGAATATTTTATTCTCAGTTTTGGAACGGGCCGTTCTGAATCCAGAACGGCCCGTTCTGAAACCAGAATGGCCCGTTCTGTTTTCAGAACGACCCGTTCTGCTGCATTGGTGGTGTGTTAATTTTCGCATCTAGAATGGCCCGTTTCAGTTGCAAAATTAACACACGAAAAGTGCAACCAGAACAGCTCGTTCTGGTTTCAGAACGGGCCGTTTTGGGTCCAGGTGTTTTCAAAAAAATTGTCATCCACGTGGCATCCACGTATGCATCTACGTGGCATCCACGTGCCCAAAGGTTAACTCCGTTTAAATAATTTGGAAGTCCCACATTGAAACCAATTAATTAATTTGGGACTAAATTGAATCCAATTAATTAGTTTGGGACCAAATTGAGACAAAAAATAAAAGTGGAACTACATTGAAACAAAAAAAAGATTATAAGAGACCAAAATAGAATTTTAGCCAAACATAAATGGTTGAAAAAAAAAAAACAATGTACTACTAGTAGTAATTCACTTTTTCACACAATACCACATAATTGTGTGAGTCGAAGCAGTATGTTATAAAAGAGATAATAAATGGAGATGCAGTACTTGTCTGTACAAATAATAACATAATAAATTAAATCAAACGGTCTATCTTTGTAAAGACTAAATAGTCCTTTTGATTTGTTATCAACGACCTAATGTGATCTATAACTTCCAATTGTGGATCGATAATCGATTTACTAGTTGAACACGAAAGGAAACTGGGGAAGCAACCTTTAAAAAACTACTAAGACATAGTTCTCGTATATAGTGTATCAAAATTTACAACTAAAAATTAATTTGTTTATAAGATATGACTTTTCTTGATTAAGCATTAAATACCACATCAACTTTCATTATAGAACAGATCTTATAAATTACAATCATTAGATGAAAAGGTTTGATTAGACAATTGTAATAGTACATAGAAAAATAAAATTAATATAAAAAATGAGTAGTTTGGAATTAATAAGTCGCTGAGTCTAGGAAATTATAAACTCTCATTTTATTGTCTCGCAGTTAACTAATATCAAAATCTATATAACTAAACTCACTTTTTTTTTGGGGAATTAAACTTTGAATCGTTTGTAGGTACTGTTTGAATTATTATTTTTTCTATCGTGAAATAAAAAAAATTTTATCCTCCTAAAACTTTATTGAGATTTTTTTTTCATATATTCCTAGATATATAATGTAAAAGTATTAAATAGTATATTTTATTAAACATTTGAAATTATTTTAAAAAACAAACACTTAATAAGTTGTGTTTAACCAACATTACATTAGTTTAGGCCACGTCTAACTTTGATTTTTTTAAGTAAGGTCAAGCATGAGATTAGAAGACTTCATTAAAGGTAATTAACTTAATTATTTGATGAAGTTTTTTCTTTCTTTTTTATTCATTGAGGGGGCTAAAAGTACAGACTAAAAACTATGAAAGAAAACAAAATTATCTGCAAAGAAAAGAAAATGAGCCCAAAATAGAGGAAAATCAAATAGATAAACTCCTTCCGGTAAGAAGAACTCTCTCTTAGCAAAAGCAATCTTCAACTTTTAATCGATGGAGCTTAATCATGAGTAATCTCTTCGTTTATGATACAATAATTATTGATCAAGATGTTAAAATTTGTTTGTGCGTAATTTCTTAACATGTCCTTTATCTGTTTTATTAATTATTGTTATTGGCATTTCATACGTGGTTACTTTTCCTTCTTATTATAAAAGTATAAGTGGAAAACTAGTAACTAATACTATCTTAAAATTTTAAAATAATAAATAAATTAATAATATTTTTCTTTAGAAAACTAATAAATGAAAAATAGTAAAATAGTAATATATTTCTTATTTTCAATCGTGTATTGTAATCCGACGTATTAAATCATACACTAAAAAAAGGAATATGTAGTTACCATAATAAATAAAAGGTAAAAACATCTTAAAATTTGTGTACGCAAGATGAATTACTTTATATATATATATATATATATATATATAAGTTTGGCATATATGCACTATGAAATTATTTTCCTATAAATTAAAACAATTGTCTATATTGGTAGTTAACTTATAAAATCCATTAATCAATCATTAAAAAGAAAAACATCGTGATTCATGAAAAAACATGTAAGTGGGTCAAAAGAATGAATCGCGCGTTGTCTAACACCACATCTCGAATTTTTTTCAATATATATAGGAAGAAAAATGAGGGGGAAAACAAATAAAAAGAAAAAACTAGGAAAGAAAGTGTGGGTGGTCAACAAGCATATGAAAATGAAACTTCAACAAGGAGGAGGAACGAATTTTTTACATAAATAATATTTTTTTTTTTAAAAACCGAGCTTCAAAACTTTTTTTTTTGTGCTCAGAATTCGGTTCCCGGGTAACCGAATTCTGAGTTGTTTTAATTTTTTTTTTTTTTTTGCGTTTGTGGTCCAATTTGGGCTAATATGGGAAGTGGAACGGGCCGTTTCGGAAGCAGAACGGCCCGTTCTGCTTAAGCACATAAAGTGTTATTTTTGAAATTGGAACGATAGCAGAACGGGCCGTTCCAATTTCAAAAATAACACTCTATTCGTTTAAGCAGAACGGGCCGTTCTGTTTCTAGAACGGCCCGTTCCACTTTCCAGATTCGTCCAAACTGGGCCACAAACGCAAAAAAAGATTAAAAACAACTCAGAATTCGGTTCTCCGCAAACCGAATTCTGAACACAAAAAAAAATAAAATTTTGAAACTCAGAATTCGGTTTCCGGAGAACCGAATTCTGAGCATGAACAGTGATTAGTTCTAGTTGAATAAATAAAGTTGCACAGATGTTACTTTTATAATTTTTTTTTTAAAAAAAATATTATTTATGTTAAAAATTCGAGAATGAACACGTAGGAGACCCACAAAGGGATGAACCCTGCTTGGCGCGCCAGTCAGATTAAAACGCATTGAAAATTGAAGTATTTGACAAGCAGGAGAAAAAATAAAATTTTAGTAAAAAATAATATATATA